ATGGATATTGATACGAGTATAATATTCCTTCCTCGTCTGGAGGCCTCGATGCACGCAGGGGGCGACGCGGCTTGCAACTAGGGCGACGTGTAAAGTGGTTACGCGACCTCAGGTGACTCACACGAAGTCATGTGCCGCCCTAGCACCCGGATTCGGCCAATCAGAAGCCAGGGCGCAGCACCACGGCTGGTGTAACGCCTGTAACGCTGGGAATTATCGTTACTGGATGCGGATGTGATGGATCAGATCAGACATCGTCCGGCAATAATGCAGAGATTATTATTTCTTCCTCCCCTTTGAGTACCTTGCAATGACTTAGCGGTCATCGGCCTGGAGCTAGTGCAGGGGAACCACCCTACTGGGTCCTATCCTTGGTGCGGAGAACTGTGTGGATGGGCAAGACACACGCCTCCAAAATGGGACTGAGCATCCAGAGGGCCAGAGCTGGGATGCGAACCGGAGCAGTTGAGCAAACGAACGGGGAGTGGAGAAATGGGAAGGTCAACGCAGGAACAGTTTCTACTCCGTACTTCCACCCGCTTCATTTGCCACTCTGCATAACCCACCATGCAACATGCACTGTGGATGGAATCGAGATATGGCTCTTGGAACAGCTTCAAAATTGAAGGCTAACCCTCCCGCTAAACCCCCCGGAAAAGTCAAAACAGAAAATCTGAAACCAAATTCCAGAAAATATGGGCTACAGGGGTGATTGTCTTGGCCTGCAGCTCTCCTAGTACGCAACAAGCAGAAAAAATGTCCCCGAGATAAAGCAAGATGAAGAGTCACTGATTGAACTTCCGTCCTGGACGTCCCTTGGATTTCATATTATTATTAACAGGGTAGCTTGCAAGCATGATACTATAACAAGGATTGGGCCTCTTCCCCACTGTCATTTGAAAGGCAGGATATCGCGTGGCAACAAACGACTGAATTTTTTGGAAAAAAAAAAAAAAAAAAAAAAAAAAAAAAAAAGGGAAAGGAATCTACAGAAGAAAAGAAACAATCCTACCACAGGCTGCTTTAAGCAGAACACAATTATATTCCTGCTAACTATTTAGGCATGGCGATCAAAATCAAGAACAAAAAGAAATGGGCCGGTGAACCTTCAATTGAGCAAGGAGGAATAGATGAGATTCGATGTCAACCCTTCTGCAACAGAAAAGACGAACGAACTTGACTTTCTCGGTATGTCGCCAGTTAGAAGTCGATTGCTACAGTCCACCATCTTGCTTGTGGAGACTTTTTGCTGCCTGGTGCAAGGACAAATCGCTGCCTGACTGTTGCCTTGATGGATGCCATATCAACTGAGAATCCAAAACTACATGTCAAGTTCAAGGTCGATCTGCAGTATGAAATGCCATTATTAAACGGATTTTGCAACAGTTGCGCGCTCCTACGCTGCGCGGACCAATAATCCGCATTATCGCCTAG